TGCCCCAGGTGCAGCCCCATCCGGACACGGCCATCACCTCCTTCCATGTGCTTTCATCCCCCGAGTGTGCCCTCAAGACCACAGCTTGGCTGGCTTCCCCCCGGCAGTTTATTTCTTTGAAGAAAGTGGCTCATTTGTCTCAGGGAGTTTCCTTCTGTCCGGGGGCTGGAGGAAAGAATTCCTCACTATTTTTGGTAAATGAATGTGGAGGCCTGGTCAGATCCAGGTGAGGCTTGTTGGGGGCAAGGGTGCTTTGGAGGTGGTGGGGTGCTCCTTACAGGCTGTGTTCAGTGTCATCTAAGAACATCCTCAACCCATCAGAGGTCTGGACAGCATCCCGCCCTCACTCCTCCAGCCTCCTTGGACCCGGGGGGACCCAGAAGCCCCTCCTACTGCTGGCCGGTTACCGTTCGTGTAGGAAAGGCAAGTACATGCTCATCTTTCTCTTAATTTACCCGTTTGCAACATCTTTCAACGGTAGTCAAGTCGTCCGTTTCTGTGTTTAGAACAAACAGATTTCAGCATATTTAGGCTTCAGTTCATGGATTTAAAAAAATATGTCTTTTTATTGATTTCAGAGAGGAAGGGAGAGGGAGAGAGAGATAGGAACATCAATGATGAGAGAGAATCATGGATTGGATGCCTTCCGCTCACCCCACACTGGGGATCCAGCCTGCAGCCCAGGCACGTGCCCTGACTGTGAATCCAATGGTGACCTCATGGTTCATAAGTCGACACTCAATCACTGAGCCATGCCAGTTGGGGCAAGTCATGGAATTATTGTTATTTTTCAAATATTTTTATTTATTTCAGAGAGAGGAAGGGAGAAGGAGACAGAAACATCAATGATGAGAGATAATCAGTGATTGGCTGCCTCTTGCACACCCTACACTGGGGATTGAGCCCGCAACCCAGGCATGTACCCTTGACTGGAATCGAACCCGGGATCCTTCAGTCCACAGGCCGACGCTCTATCCACTGAGCCAAACTGTCCAGGGCTGGAATTATCATTCTTACTAGTGCTCAGACAGCCCCATCCTCGCTGGTCCCATGACCCGACCGCAAGCAATGGCCTCAGGGGATGTCTAGCTGTCTGTCTGCTGCATCAAGACTCCCACATTGTGAGCTTCCTGTGTCTGACATAACAAGTTATCACAAACCTCTTGGCTTGAAGCAACACATTTATGCTCTCCAGTTCTGGGAGCCAGACCTCTGAGACCAAGGTGTCGGCCGGGCCTGCTCCCCCGGAGGCTCCCACGAGGCTTCTTGCTGTTTCCAGCTTCAGACGGCCGCCAGCATCCCCTGGCCCTGGCCGCATCCTGCCCCTCTTCACACGGCTTCTTCTCTGTGTCTGCCTCTCTCTTATAAAGACACTTCTCATGACATTCAGTCCCCACACCCCATAATCTAGGATGACCTCAAGATCCTTAATCATGTCTGCAAGATTCTTTTATTTTTAAAATATATGTTTTTATTGGTTTCAGAGAAGAAGGAAGAGGTATAGAGAGATAGAAACATCAATGATGAGAGAGAACCATTGATTGGCTGCCTCCTGCTCACCCCTTACTGGGGATCAAGCCCACAACCCAGGCATGTGCCCCGACTGGGAATTGAACCATGACCTTCTGGGTCACAGGTGGATGCTCAACCACTGAGCCACACCAGTCAGGCTCTGCAAGATTTTTTCCCCAAATAAGGTCACACAAGTTCCAAGGGTTTGGTGTGGACACGTTTTGGGGGGACATTTATCAGCTTACACAGAGGCTGCCCAGACCTGGTTTCTTTTTCTTTTTCAATATAAATATAAATATAAATATAAATATA